CAACAGTATATGGTTCCCCCCCCCTTCCATATGGTCAGCTTTCATTAGCAGAGAAATGTACTACATCAAGACAGGTAAATCATACTAAATTATGCTGGGGGATGGAAAAGCTGTACCCATGGCTGCTACTTTCAGTAACAAACTCTTCTTTAACAGTGTCTGGTTTGTCCCATAAAAATGAAAATAATTTGTTTATCCCACAGTATTGCTTCTCAGGCTGCTTCACTCTTCATGGGCAAAATTACACAAAAGTTTAACACAAATGATCCTCAGTCACATAAATCTGCACTTGATGTGAAAGCTTTTAACCATGGTAGAAAGGAACTGTGCATGTTTACGATCTGTAGGGAAGAAAGTTGAAGAACAATTGATAGGCAATCTAGTTTTCAGACCAACAGGGCAATGACTTTGAGTCTCAGAAGGCATTTTGTGATTTTTCCTATAAAAATCACCATATCTGAATATGCATGTTTTAATGAGCAGTTCTACAAACTAGGAGCTGCGGTGGCTCAAGTGGTTAAGACGCTGAACTGCAGGCTGTGGAAGGTCAGTAGTTCAGCGGTTCAAGACCCGGGTGCCGCAAGACAGGGTGAGCTCCTGTCTCTAGTTCCAGCTCCTGCCAACCTAGCAGTTCGAAAGCAAGAAATTGCAAGTAGATAAATAGGTACCACTTCGGTGGGAAGGTAACAGCGTTCCGTGCGCCTTGGTGTTTAGTCATGCCGGCCACATGACCACGGAAACGTCTTCGGACAGCGCTGGCTCTTCGGCTTTGAAACGGAGATGAGCACCGCAACCCTAGAGTCGGATTCGACTGGCTTTCGAGCAAGGGAACCTTTACCTTTACCTCTACAAACTAGTCATAGACTTTTATTGCAGTTTTGGTTTTTTTCTTAAATGGGGATAGTGCAGAATATCTTAGTGGAAAAAATATGTGTTCATTAGTTCTTTGAGCTATTATTCATCCCAAGGGAACCTGTTAAAAATGCATGTTTTGTTTCCCCCTAAATGTAAGAGGACCACTTTAGATTTTTTGGGTAAAGGAGGAAGGAGAAATTACCTTACTCTTTCAGTTTAGTTTATACAGTCATTATTTCAGATATAGTTCTTAGAAAATAATCTAAAACTTTCACTGTACATGTTCCTGTATTGGATTGATTTAAGTTGTAGGGAACAGGAAAATGTAAAGAATCCAAGTTAAGTGTCATGTCTACCATTCATCCTCATCCTTTCGTTTCAGTGGAAATTATTTCCAGGAAATAAATTGCAGTTGAATCTACATACTACTAGAGATTGTCAGGCTACCGTATACTTCTGTATCAATCAGATTATCAAGACAGAAACCTAATATTTCTTATATTAAGTGGCTGATACTTAAGCAGTTACCAAAAAAATCATGTTGACCATCTGGTCAGATTAAAGTTTTAGAAGAAGTTGTAGTAGAGTAGCCAATTGAATATGAGAGAGAGAGAGATTTACCTAACCAGGCTCCTAATAACCTACAGTCTCCTAGAAGGGCAGGTTTGGATTAGGAAAGAGGAATTACCTGTTTTTGTTTTTACACACACAGTTGTGATTCCTCATATCCCCTCAATATGTCCTTGTATTATGAAAACTATTAATTTGGATTATGTGTTACAACTTGAAGAAGGAGAAGGTTCACTCACTGGCCTGTGAGAGATACCAGCTGGCTATCTGCAGTTCTGCAGGTATTATGAACAGATATCTATCAAGTATCTACATGAACAAGAGAGTAATAAAATACATGATTGAGTGTGTGTGTGTGTGTGCGCGCGCGCACACACACGTGCATGTGTGCTAATGAAAACACTTCATAATAAGTATCATTAATGCATATCAAAACTAGGTCCTAAAATTCCACCATATTCTAGTCTACTCAAGAGATTCCTTGCTTCCTGCCAGGGAGATCTCCTTTTGCACACGTCCTGCCCATAACAGTGATAGGTTTTTCCCCAGTAATATGTGACATAGAGGCCTGAATTTATACAGTCACAAAATGATTGCCATCAAAGTGAATTACTATAACTCCATAATTCTGGACATTTACCAGATGTATGCAAGAAAGTCAACATTCCCCTGTGATAGTCAACAGTCTCTGCATTTTGCATATTCACAATAACATATACAAATAACAGACTGATGGATATGTTATAGTTCTTCCAAAGAGAGAGCGAAAGAGAGAGATGCAGTCTGCAGAATCCCTCAGGCAGCCAAAAATATATCTGTGTATGGGTGTGCACTGTTCTTGCAAGAGTTCATCTGGTATTTCTCCCATAACATTTGTTTCTAAATGCACATACATACACTCATGTTGCGTGTGCACAAGCAAAAATAATTTGTTGCACTATAATTATTTTTAAAAGCTTTAATACAGGAAGAATGGGCAAATTTTTAAATGCATTTTTTAACAAATGATGTAGAATTTATATGCTTAATCGTATTGTATCAAAAGTCTTCGTCAATACTTTAGTTAACATACCACATGAATTATTACTTTATTTATAAGAAAGTTGCCACATATCCACAAAAACAGATGTGGTTATAACTATTTCCTGCTATTTATTCTACCACTGATTGTTAAATTTACTTTAGTTCATAGTTTATCTGTTTTGCTGCATAATAAATACTAGAACTGTTGAGTATAAAACTTCCCTTTAAGGAAGAATATGTTCTGGGCCACACTGTTTGACTAACCATTACCATGGTCAAAATGTAAAATTTTAATGTCTTTAGCTGTGGGGTGCAGACAATTGAAAGTCAAGCCCTATATGGGAAGATTTTTTCCTTATTCTTCCAAAGTTAATATTTCATTTTAGAAGAAAATTGTACCTACTTCACTGAGCTTGACAGTCAGAAAGCTCCTGCAGTGAGAAGTCCTTCTTGCCTTCTGTAAATTGTGATGTTTTCAGATTATGTTGTCATTTTGTGGCCTGTTGCCATCTTGTTGAAAAGTGACTTTCTTTATGTAGACAGTACAAGTGCCAGGCAGAGAAAAGACTGTAAACTACTTTCCTCCTCTGATGATACAGCTTTATAAGAGAAAGCATTTCACAGTGTAAAATTGAAAACCTTTGTTTGGCCATTACTTCTGAATGTTTCTTGTAATAGGCAGTTGGTGTGGTGGCAGAGTGAAAAATTATTATGAGTTGTATTAAACAGAGATAGCACTTGTGCTCTTATGGAGCATGTGACATCACAAGTGAGGAAAATATAAAAATTAATTAACAGTACTGTTGTTAGCCAGTATAATTTGTTCTTCCAGGACAATAAATCATTTTAGTAACTGTTCAAAGATGCAGGGCTATCTGTACATTCCAACTTCCAACAGGGTGTGCAATATTTAGATCTTTCGTTTGCTTTATTAAGAAACTCTGAGAGGGTTCATTATATAATTACTCCTAAATCCAGCAGATCCAGCTAAGCAACACAGCATGGATATGGTCTTCTGTTGCACTCCTCCATATATATGTAATAAACCAAACTGAGTTTATTGTCAGTTAAATATGATAAAAACAGATTTTATATAAGCCTTTATTTAAGAATATGTCATACAATTGCTGTGAATAAATGGGAATTGTGCTTATAAGGCAAAAGGTTTCAATGACTGATACTTATTTATTTATTTTTAATGGGCACAATTGACCCAGCATTCATGAGAGAGATTTAAACTCATTTGTAACTCACCCATGAAATCTACGGGACTCAGAAGAATTTAACTTTTACTGGATTGTACAAAATATTACATACACAGGAAATAATAACTATGGCTCATGGAGTGTCTGGGCCCACCTTGTCCTTGCTCTTAGTATTTAATGGCTCTTTTCCACATTCTCCATGTTTCAGCCAGAGGGTTATACAAGGAAATAAAAAACATATTTCATGTTCATTTTCTTGTATAAAGCAAAGATTGTATTTGCTTTGACAATGGAACAGTAACTTTTGTGATCACTCCCTATATCTGATTATCTAATCATAAGCTTTCTGTTTCCCTCTGTTTTGGAGCACTCTATACCACTTTTTCACCATAAAGAATGCCTGTGGCAGTCCATGCCGTTCATATATTTGACGTCCAGTTTCATGGAGTCTAGTACGTGGCAGGTTACAATGTACCTAACAGCAAGCACTAAATAACTATACACCAACCTTAAAACTCACAAAATCTAGTGCAGATTAAAATCACCCTCTCCACCACACCATCACCCAACTCCAGTACACTCCACCTACTTAACAGAAGGGAAATCATGCAATAAAAGAGGATCAAACCTTGGCAAGTCTCCAAATGTCAGGCAGCTACTGTGTGAACATCTCTTTAAGAGTTTTTCTCACATGTATTTGACATACAGTTGACACAAAAGGAGAAAGATAGTATGTAATGTATGAAGGACCCAGGCCAGATAAAGCTTCATAAATTCAAAAGTGAATTTAAATTGGAAGACTAAAAGAAGGCCCTTAAGGAATGATATAATGTACTCCTGGAAACTCACTTCCATCAGGCAATCATGTCATGCTGTTCTCTTTTAAGATGTTTGACAACTCTTGTACCACAATTTAATAGAAGGAAAGCAGTTTTGAAATACCAGTGATGACTTCCTTCAAATCTAGATTTGAAAGGAGTACTTAGTCTTGCCTATTTCTTAGTTCTCAAAAGGTGTGAATTTTTCTAGCTGTTCTCTCTTTTTTGTGTGTGCCATTTGTTTGAATGCAGAACTTTGAGTGTTCTTTCTGTTTCAGAGGTTTCTTGTGTTTTATACATAGGCTGCATAGTTCAGCAGCAAATGACTTAAACTGAGGCATCATCAGGAACTTGCCTTCTGAGATCCAAAGCTCATCAAATAGATGAATTATAAAAATAATTAAATGGGGAGTTTGGGCCCTTTTGTTTTAGAAATCATATAACGATCTGCAGCATGTGGACAGAATGTATTGTTTGTGCCTGAACTAGTAGCCTTCATTCCTGACTATTGTGTGATAGCTTTAGTTTGCTTAACATCCTCTCTTTGTCAGTGTTGTGAGTTTCTTACTTTCTTTCCCCTTCTTGCCCCTACCCCAACTCTCGTTTTGATATGTCTTTGCTTTAGAAGTCAAGTTCCTCCACCACAACTGGAGAGAAGATCACAAAAATGTATGAGCTGGGAAATGAACCAGAGCGTAAAATGTGGGTGGATCGCTATCTCAACTTCATGGAAGAAAGGGGTACCCCTGTAGCCAGTCTACCTGCTGTAGGCAAGAAACCACTAGATCTTTTTAGGCTTTATGTCTGCGTTAAAGAGATTGGAGGTTTAGCCCAGGTAAGAGACTATTTTTTGATAGCTTAATATTGCAAAGACATCACTGCAAGCAGAGAGTGGCAATCATGAACATGAACCTTGGAACTAATGTCAGTTTTGACTTTACTAAGTAAAAAAAATCTGAAAAGAAAAATGTATTAAACTGAAGAAAGCTGCTATATTGTTCTAGTAACTAATGCAATGGTATAGGATTTTATGTACTGAGTTTGACTTCAATTAGACACCAAAGACCACAATTAAAGCCTACCTGTATATTGCATCCTGGAGGAAAACAAAACATGATGAGGCCTGGGCTTAGGGTTGCCAGCCCCCAAGTCTGGGTGGGGGTTCCCCTGCCTTTGGGGGCACCAGCCTGCCCCTGGACAGCTGGCGGGTGGGGGATCCCCACCCCAAACACACCCAGCCACCCCTCTCCCTCCCCTCCTGCCAGATTTAAAGGGCTTCAGTTGATCAGTTGGGACTGTGTGGCCCGCCAATCAGCTAGAGGGCGCTTTCGATCTAGCAGGAGGAAGGGGGGGGTCATGGGCCACACACTCAGTTCGCAAAAAGTCAATTTAAAGGGTCTTTTTGCAAGCCAAGCATGCAACCTATAACTGCCCCCTCCCTCCCTCCTGCTAGATTTAAAGGGTCCTCCAGCTGATCGGTGGGCCACATGGTCCCCACTGATCAGCTGAAGCCCTTTAAATCTGGCAGGAGGAGGGGGAGAGGGGTAGCTGGGTGGGTGGTCACACTTCAGGTGGGGCTTGGGGGCATCCCCACCCACCCCTGAAACACCCCCCAAAGCCCCCCACTGGAGTGAGGAAGGGATCTGGCAACCCTACCTGGGCCTGAGTTACTCCTTGCTTGCCTCTGCTGCAGAGGAGTGGGAGACAAGACAAAACAAAGGTTGATCCTGGTTTTGCCGCTGCCAACCATGACAAGTTCTCACAGTCCCTTTGAGTGAGGTTACCCAGCATACTCAAGGCCTAGCCCAGGGTTTGTCTTGCCTTCTTCCCTTCACTGTAGATTTGGGGAGTTAGTGAAGTTAACTGGTAAAATTAAACAGTCATCCCTTACACTCATTGTGTTCTCTACCTACTTTTTCCTCAGCTTCCATTTTCTCAACCAGCTTGGGCCAGTCCAGCATAAGACATGCCTCACCCCATTACATTATTCTTCATTTCTAAGACTGATTAAGGGCTGTTTCACTGTAGAAATGTCTGGGGGGCCCATACAGTTGATACAGGAGTAGACAGGAACCTGCTGTGCTCACAATTAGCCAGTGCTTGCAGAAGTAGCATTCATGCAATCCTGTGCTTCCACATAGGGGGAGGGCAGTCTACACTTCCAGCATGGCCACTGTGAATTCAGCAACGTTTTTGAGCCCCCACAGTTGCTCAAATTACAGCCACTATGTATACATCTTCTTTTTGGAGGTGCTGATTTATAGAAATGATCCCTGCTTTTGCATGTTTCCTTGCAATGAGTTCAGTGCACACATGAAAGCCACCATAAAATGTGAGCTGGCCCTTAAAGTATCCCTTTAACTGTATTATCAATGTGCTGTGTTTAGACAGCTGTGTTGTAGTGAGGTATTTTCAGTAGTTGCCCCATAACCATGAGGTTTTATCAAAAGCAAGTCAAGCTTAAGAATATTTTGGTCACCTTGTAATTGATCTGAATGAATTCTGGAACCCTGGGAAGAGCCCCTTTCCCCTGCCTTCATGGTTGGATGAGCCATACAAGTTTAATGCTCTCAGTCTTGGATATTCTACAGTGTACCATCAGGTTGGCAAGAACTGATCTCACTGGTTTGTTTTTATAGGATGTATTTCAGTATAGGTTTGTGTGAGGAGGACAGTGTATTGTCTCTGTACTTTTACCTTGGTTTGTTTTTAAATCCCTGAAAATATTTTGGAGTATTTAGGGGAAGTCTTGTGCGTACATAGTAGTGAGCTGGTTACGCACTTAGTGTTAATTATATTGACACAATGGACTGTGGAAAACAGCAGTAATTGTCAAAAGTGGAAGCTGATTATATCAAGTATATCTAAAACATGGACAGCTTGAATCTATGTTCTTGATACTGTTTTACAGTTTTATTTAAGGACCAGCATTCTTTTGGCTTTAATAAGCATAAATGCCTAAGTGTCTCCTTGGCCAACAAATCGTTATTAACAACATCTACAATAATGTCTTCACCTTTGACAGCTAACATGGAATAATGAAATCTAATTATTTTGGTTAAAGGTTGATCAGTATATGACTCAAAAAGTCAATTTGGCTCACACAGTGGGATGCAACTCTTAACAGCTTGATGCAGAAACCAGTTCAGCTTGAAGCTATTAGGCTCATCTAGGTTGTAATACTGAACACACTCTGGCTTGCACAAGTGCTACGGAAGTCCGTGACACTTGTTTTGAAGTACCAGGACGCAGGATCAGTACTTCGGTTCCTTTTGACAACCAATGTTATTTTGCATGCAATATGTCCTGTACCCCATGTAGCCCAGTTTGCAATAATTTAAATCAAAGACCTTCCATTCTGTTTTATTTCTACAATGTATCAGAATTCATTGATTTGAACCATTGAATGTACAAAAGTACTGTAAAAGAAATTATTCAGTATTTCAGGTATTCACTGTTCTATGCTAAATGCTTATAAAAATGGCTACGTACAGGGGTCAGAAAAAGAGGTGCAGGAGCTCATTAGCATAACTCATTGGCATAACTTATTTGCATATGCCACACTCATATTCAGCCACTGGAAGTGTTTCAGAAGGCAACACCCACCACTCAGGCTCCACTGGACAGTTTTGGATTACTAGTTATTGGGAGGATGTGCAGATCTGTCCTTGCAGAGGAGGGAGAGCTTGTACCTGAATAAAACTTGGTCTTATAGGTGCCACTGGACTGTTTTGGACCGGGGGGCCGGGGGGGGGCTCTGCAACTTACCTGGCTGCTTCTTGCTGTGACTGAGGGCTGCTGGGAGCAGGGGGTGGGGCTTGTTGCATGTGCCCACCCCCTGGGCTCTTTACTGCCGGAGCGTACTTTACTGCCTGGCTACGTACTTCGAACATGGTGTGCCTTCATATGAGAAAAAATGCCCAGATTTCTAATTTGCCACATATACATGTATTAGAAGTTGTTGCATGCTGCAAATTCCATATGCGAGAAAAATACATGTATATGTTTCCATGCATATGAAAAAAGTTTAATGTGTGTAGCCCTAAAACCACAGCTTTTGGTTTCATATGGTGCATTCCAACAGAGCCGCATTTATATATTTGAATCAGGAATTACTGGCTAAATAATTCTTCATCTCATGGCTATTTTGGAGAAGAAATTGGCTTTCATATCAGTGTAAAAGGACTTAAAGAGTGAAATAACAGCCTGATTATTGCCATTTTAAATTAGTTTTTAGAAGCTGTTTTGTAATTAGAGCCTAAATGTATATTTGTCTGTCAAAGAGTGTAAGTACACATTAGGTAGAAGATAAATTGGCTAACTGCACAATGTATACCCCCCCAAAAGTGCTAGGAACAGAGAAGTAATGTCAGACAGAAGATGCCTCTCCACAAGCAAGAACATTTTACATAGCTATCAGCAGGTTCTTTAATGGGTTTATAAGTGTAAATGCTGTTTGTGCATTACTGAGTGTGGGAGTAATGAGCATTAGTTAAAAGAGGCAAATAAAAAACAAGCCAAGGCATTAAGTGTTTGTGTGTGCGTGTGCGCACGCATGCATGTGCATGCTGGCTTTAATCCATTTTGCTGCAATCCACTGATTCTGCTGTTTATTTTTGCTAGGTTAACAAAAATAAGAAGTGGCGTGAGCTGGCAACCAACCTTAATGTTGGCACTTCAAGCAGCGCAGCCAGTTCCCTGAAAAAACAATATATTCAGTACCTGTTTGCTTTTGAATGCAAGATTGAACGAGGGGAGGAGCCGCCTCCTGAAGTCTTCAGCACTGGCGAGACCAAGAAACAACCTAAGATTCAGCCGCCATCTCCTGGTAAGTAGAAGAACTGCAGAACCTAGGCTGTATTTTCTAGAACTGTTAAGGTAATAGAAATACTTATACACCCTGGGCCTCTTGATTCTCTCTCACAAATGATCATTCCTAGCAAATTTGGCAAATTAGCTGAAATAATCTTTGGCAATCACTTGGTAGTGTTTGACAATTGCTGTAAACATTACATTGGAGGAGATTACATTTGGATATATATGTGCTTTAATGCGCACTTAAACCCTCTTCATATGATCTTACTTCTATGTTAAAATGTTAAGCTAATATATAGCTCCATTACAAATTGGGAGAGTTCTGCCACTGATAAGGAAGTAGAGGAACAAGAGTCATCATACAAGGATTGAAGATTTGCTGGAGAAACTCAAACATAGCCATAAAATATAGAGAGCGAGTGATTATGATATTGCTCTGTTTGAGTTCCATCTAACGAAGTTCTGCTGACTTTTAAAATTGTATATAGTTTACAAAATACCAGCTTCCTTCTGGTGGGTTTCTATTTTTGTTTAAATTCATCTTTATAATTCAGAACGTTCTGTTTCCATTTATGCTATCCTGTGGTTGCAATCAGCTGAGCAACTCTGTTGTCACAGAAGGGCGAAAGGGTCCAGGTTTGAAGGAGGCAGAGGACCTTGGAAAGGAAGAGAAGCCGGTTTGGTGTAATGGTTAAGTGTGCGGACTCTAATCTGGGAGAACCGGGTTTGATTCCCCACTCCTCCACTTGCACCTGCTGGATGAACTTGGGCAAGCTGTAGTTCTGATAAGAGCTGTTCTTGAAAAAGAGCAGTTTCTGTCAGAGCTCTCTCAGCCCCACCTACCTCAGAGAGGGTGTCTGTTGTGGGGAGAGGAAGGGAAGGGAGGTTGTAAGCCACTCTGAGACTCCTTTGGGTAGTGAAGGGCGGGGTATAAACCCAATCTCTTCTCTTCTTCTCTCTTCTTGGAAAGAAAGTTTGCATTATGCAGGGATTTGAGGGAAGTGGCAACAGGAGAAAGAATAGGGCATTGAGGGATGCCGAAGTGATGGAATCCAGGGAATGGGACAGAGGACTAAAGGAAAGATGTTAAGAGACAGAAAGCTAAAGAAAGATAAAGGAAACCAGGAGTGGACAGTTGTTAAGAAAAGAATTAGGGTTGCCTGTCCCCAGGTCCCAGCAAGAGTTCCTCCAGTTTTTGGGGTTTCAGCCTGCCACCGGCCAGCTGGCTTGTGAGGGAAACCCCTACCTCCAAACAGCCATGTCCCTGCACAAAGCTCTGGTTTGAGGGCAAAACTCTATGGTAAATGTGGCCTAAAACCATAGAGTTTTGTCCTCAATCCAGAGCATCACTGTGCAATGTTGCCGACGTGATGATGTCACTTCTGGGTGACATCATTGAATCAGGGATGTCCTGAAATGCCCCCCCAAAAAATTCCCCTCCCAGCGCAGTGAGGGGACCTGGCAACCCTAAAAAGTGTGGGTGTGAAGAGATGCATGTGCAGGGAACAGAGACCAAGCACCATGTTTTAACCACAATGACAGCAGGCTTTTAGTTCTGTGTTTTAGAGAACCTGTTGGCAACGCTGACTTCTGTTGTCTTTTGTGGGAGCTCCTAGAGTTCTTTGTTTAATGTCACATTAGCTATAACAGTTATAACAAGAGACACACACTGACTTTTTAATGTCACAGTAGCTATAACAGTTATAACAAGAGACACAAAGCTAGGGACTAGGTTCTTGAACAAACCCAACAGCCATCTCTGTCCCCATATCTATTTGGGCAATAATAGGATAGGTTTTAATACCAGAAGGCGGGGGGTACTCATCTGCTCATCCTCCTATGAGATATACCGTAGCACTTGCCAGCAATGCCCTTGTGCTGTCAAATAAGACAAACAGGTCAGTCTCTACATAAAAGTATAAACACAAATTCTGACATGAAAAACGGCAACGTTTCAAAAACTGGTAGGAGAACATTTTAGTGTCCCAGGGCGCCATGCTTTAACAAAAAAGGCTTGAAAGGGACATTTCAGTTTGAAATGGCTGAATTAGCATTTATCAGCAAATTAGATTCTATTCAATTGCAACTTAACAGGAACTTTGTATTTCATGGCTGGTGTTTATTTTTTTAATTCTCTCTAATCCTTGTCTATAATCCTTGTTTACTGACTGGGAATAACACTGCATGCAGCTAACAAAGTAAAATCTACTCTGCCACTTTGCAAGAAGCCTGTTTATGGTTAATATTGGTTGGTTTATTGCTTTCCAAAATCTATGCAGTCTTAAGCAACAAGTAGACATGGTGTGAATAGGACTCAACGATGTTTCCATACAGAAATAATTTGAAGGGGAGCTTTCCTCCTTACCATTCTTTTTATGTAGTCTGTTTCTGTTCTTTGGTGGGGAAATTAGCCCAGAGATGAGAAAAAGTGGCTGTTTTTTTCTGATATTAATATTATTGCTCAAAAATGGCCTACATTAATCCCAAAGTAATACTGATAAAAATGCAAGTACAGTACTGAGAGATCTGGAGACAATCACTAAGAAAGAAGACATTCCCACTCACACCAGGGAGAGCAATGGTAGTGATCTGATAACTAGAAGCATAAAGAGATTATTTTGTGACACATGTGATGACTGCACAGTGACTTTCTAATGCAGACATTACAGATCTCATGTTCTGTGTAGATTGGTTGTTAGTTGGGGGGGGAAGCCAGTGGTCACTCTGCATAATGGCGTTGGGGAGAGTGTGATGAGAGTAATCATTGACATGTAACAGAGCTCTAATAAATACCATATCTCCTCAAGCTAAGTTGTTAATTGTAATATGGCAGCTGATTTTTTTAGTCACAGTAACTGACATCCATGCCCAATCCCATGACTCTTCCCGGGTTGCATAGGCGAACTTATGTAGGAGCCACAAAAATGGAAAGAAAGTGGGTGAGCTCAATTACAGCAGCTCACCTCAATACCTAACTCAGATCCTTAATATCCATAAAAGCCTTGTATGGCAATCTTGCCCTCTTCCCTCCCTCACACACAGGATTTTCCCTTTTTTTCTTCTTCTTTCTTGCTATATCTATTTTCTTCTTTGTTTGTCTATGGCTGTCCCACCCAGTTGCTTTAATATATCTATTCTGGAGCTGGCCTGGCCCAGGGAACTGAGTGAAGAGATACAATCATGTTCTTATATTCAGCTTCTGAAATGGCACACGAGAGGCCTTTGAAAGTTCAAAATAAATAAAATGTTTTATTTAACTTAGAAGATAAAAGGTTAGGTGAAATTAAGGCCGAGTTCAGACTGGGAATTTGAAGCACTAGGGAGTCGTTGCAAAGAAAAAACAGAATAGACCTGGAACGGCTTGTTCCCGGTATTCCCATCCACACTGTAGTGAATTAAGCAGGAGGATATCGTGGAGGAAGCGCAAGGGAGCGTTCACGCTGTTGCCCGCCCCTGGCGGGCTGTTAGCATGGTTTCCGTACTCGGCTGTGTGCGCCTATGTGCATAGGCACATCAGCAAATAGGGCAGGATCAACTCCACACTTCCACTTGGCATGCCAGAGCATTCCAGTCGTGCGCACTTGCACCTGCCGCGGAACCAGCTGGCACCTATTATCAACTACAGGTTGTTCCCACCTTAGCAGCGTTTGTGTTCACACTCAGGGAACCGGAATCAACGCGCTGTATACACAGTTTGCTACCACTTTAACATGGTATCTTTTGAACTCGGGAGGGAAGCGGCACAAGACGGCTTGAGTACGGCTGGGGGACGCCTGAAACATGTGCCTGTGTGAACCCGCCCCTTTAATCTGCTACTGAAACGCTCCTCAAACGCTTGCCTGCCAGGCCAAACTGCCAGTCTGAACGCAGCCTAAGAGTAGGTTGTATGAGGTGAACTGATAATAAAACTGAGGTAACTGTGTAATTACACTAACTCCAGATAATTTGTTGTCAATAGGTAAGTGTTTCTGCTATTCAAAAAGGTTGTTTAAAACTTTGAGAAGAGAGGTTTTCTTTTCAGTTTCTGCTTAAACACTCCAGCATAGGTTTCTGAGTTTCATTGACTTTTAAAGTCTAGAAAGCAGGAACATACAACCAAGTTCTCAAAATCCTTCTATATACACTGACCAGGGATCACTCCTCTTTTAAGAGCCATTTCCCTTTTCAGCTTGAATGGGGATCCTCTTTGCTCCTCTCCCTCCTTTTGCCTCCTTTCCAGTCCACAACCAGTGCTTAACTGTCTCTTTTTCAACTGTCAGTTCCCAACTGTCATGTCTTAACTGACTCTCTCCACAGAATTCCATTTGAACAGCCTGTCACTCAAAGGTTCTCAGACTCAAGAGCATTAACCCTTGATAGTCTGTCACACTTTGCATATCACAACTGATGCTGGAACTGGTTTGGATGACTACTCTGTAAACAAGAAGAATCCAGTTTAGGGTTTTTTATATTATTGAGCCATGTTGTGTTTATCATCACCGTTTACTATTTACCCTATTAGTGGTCTGAAATTATCAGAATTCAAGAGGGAAATCTAGCTTTACTTTTAAATAAGTGATAAAACAAAGAAGTGTTAGAGCGTATGGTTGGAAGTGAATATCACAAACTTAACTGTATCAATATTTGGTTCAAAAATGGCAAATGTGAGCCAAATAAAAAAAGCCCAGGTATGGAGATGGAGGGAGTCAGATCACTTTACCAGGTTACCTAGTATAGACAGCAACCCTGATATGGTCTACTTTTTCTTATTTGTCAAATACTACAAGTTTGTACTGGGCCCAGAGAAATTATGACTGGACCTGGCAAATGGAATCTCTTCTTCCAAAATAAAACATACAGAAAAGCTTGGAGCGGAGGGCAGAAGAGAGAGGAAACTAAGCAAAATTCAGGCAGTTTGTTCTCTTCACTAGGTAAAGAAAACTTGAATGAATGGCATGTCTGTACAAAACAAGGTTTTCCTGTATGTGCATGAAATCCTGCTGAGGTATTAGATTCTGCAGAATACATAGAGCC